CATTTCAGTTAAACTATTCTTCAGTTCTGACTTGTTATTTTTTATACTTTCTAGTTCCTTGTTAAAATTTTCATGTGTTCATCTTCTCTTTACCCTAATTCAGTTAGCATTCTATTTACTAATGCTTTGAACTCTTTATATATTAAATTGTTTATTTCTGTTTCATTATTTTTTCAAGAGACTTCTCTTATTCTTTCAGTTGAAGCAAAATCCTTTGTCTCCTCATTTTGCTTACCTTTCTCTATGTCTATGAAATTAGGTGAAAGTTACCTATTAGTCTTGATGGTGTGTCCTTGTGTAGGAGCTTTCCTATGTGTGAGCTCACTGGCTTTGATGGGAGAGCAGGATCTGATGTGAGCACAAGTCATGTCTTTCCCCAGGGTATACTGGCAGCATCACCTTGGTAAGAAGTGCGGCCGGAGATGGAGGGACTCGGGATAGATCTAGGTGTGAGCCAGAGCTTGTCCTTTGTGCAGAGGACCTTATTGGGGGTCGGGGCAGGTCCCACGCTACTGGAGCAGAAGCCCTGAGGTTTGAGTCTGAGCTGGCCCCATTCCCTTGAAGTGTATGTTCTCTGCCCTCCTGATTCCAGCACCCTTGCCCCAGAGTGGAGCAGTGCTAGAGCATGAGGGGCTGGCCATGGGCACTCATCTTGGGTGTAGGTGCAGACTATGTCAGCCCCAGCCTCAGTCAGCAACCCAGACCACTTCTGATGCCCTGCGTTTGTAAACACCAGTAATGACTGCCCCGTCCCACTTAAATGCCTCTTTGGGTCTGAGCTGCCTTTGTCCCTCACAACTGAACTCTCTCCTTGGCTGCTGTCACCCTTATTCTAATGTGGAACTGTGCTGCAGTTCCACTGGGGCTGGTGCAGGTAATTGGCATGTGTCAGGGCATGGGCTGTGGTGGCACCAAGTGCAGAGACCTGGACTGTTTCTGATGCTCTGCCTGTTTAAGCATCAGTAATTGCTGCCCCTGCCCTATTCAGATGCCACTCCAGGTCTAACCCATCTTTGTTCCTCATGGCTGTGTTCTTACCTTGGCCATGACAGCCATCATCCCACAGGTAGATTTGCCTGTGGGGCCACAACTGATGCTTGGCTCAGAATGGGGTGCATGTCTGTTGGGGGAAACAAGCAAGTGTCCAGTGCAATTTCAATCCACCCTCTCTGTCCTGTGTCAGGAGTAAGCAAGCATGTGCACACTCCTCTCAAGCAAAGTCCAGGCTTCCCACAGCCCTTCTATTAGTCCCACTCACCCTCCAGCCACCCAAGAGGACTTGTCTTCCCAGTGTCAGACCCCAGGGCTGGGGTGCCCAATATGTGGCCTTAACCATTTACTCCCCAGGGACTTTATCTGTCCTGTAATCTACCCCCTCTTCTGAGTCCCCTCTCAGGGGCACAGGTCCTAATCTGACTGCTACTCTTCCTTTCCTACCTGATTCCGTGTGGACCATTCTCACAGCCTTGGTTGTACAGGAGTCTTTCTGCCAGTTTCCAGTTTGTTTTCAGTGAGAATTTCTCCACGTGTAGATAAATTTTGATGTGTTGATGTGGGGGGTGCTGAGGGGAGCCGAGTTCCACATCCTCCTACTCTACATCTTGATCTCTTCCTGAGGCAGATGTTTTATAATCCCTTAATCATAAGTCATGTTGGGACATCATTCTTTTTTGTTTATTTTGTTTTAGGCTAAATACATCTATGTCAGTAACTTTATTGTAACATATTCTGCTTCAGTGTTGTTTATCAGAAGACTGGAAAATATTTTTGTAATTACTGGCTTCTAATTTGTTATTTTCTTCTTCAACAGATTTATGAATTGCCTTGAGAAGGCACCCCACTTTCTGTAACATTACCCTCTTAGATCCCTTTAGAGATTTAATTTTATATATCCTTAGCTTTTTCTGTTCTCTCCCTGGATACCAGCACTTTCCCCTACATCTTACCTTCATTTCCTTCTTTCTGTGCATTGCAGACACACATGCAAGCAGCACACATTCATTTGGCTGGAAGAAAGTGGAAATTTTAAGATTAATCTAACAATGAATCAAGTCCAGGCTCACTTTAATTTATATGCAAAATAGAAACATCTTTTCATTTGATAAGCCTCTCCCACCCTTGTTAACACACAATGCTCTTGGTAACGTGTAAAGGGTCAGAATATGAAGATGTTTGTGTTTTTGAGTCAGTGGTGGAAGTGCATTTTACTTCATTCACAAGATTGTTTTATCCATTTGCTTAAATTATTCTGAATCATACAGTAGGAAAAAAAAAAGGACTGGAAAAAAAGAGCCTAAGCATTAAAAAAAAAAAAAAGCTAGTGACTTCAAATAGTAAAATTGAATTGATTGCTTTTAAATGTGTCATATAACAGGCTCCATTTCTTCCCAGCACAGAAACCATTAGAAGAGATATTGCCAGATTCTATACTGTTTTGGCTTATTCATTTTAAGCAATTGAAAAGTCATAAATAAGGGAGAGAGCAGTTCAGTTTGGCCTGATAAATTTTTTAAAAGTGTCCGTGACTGTGACATCACCCTGATGGCCAAGCCTTGCATGAGGTAGTACTCAGTTTTCATGAATAAATGAACTCACGTTTGTTTTAATGGGGGTTGGCTTTGTTTTCTGGGTGATGATTGAGTCACTAAGGACCAGAAGCAACTCAGCTAGGCCCTGGGAGAAGTCTTCAATACCCATTTTAGCCCCAAGACTAGAAACGCGGTATATGGAAAGTAACTTTGGAGAAGTAATTTATTCCTGCTATATTGGTAAGATACTTCAACAATGATTTATTGAAGTGTATTTTTATAATCGTGTAACTATGCTTTTAAAATGCAAACATTTGCAAACATCTAAGGATAATATGTGCAACAAGCTGGAAAAAATGTCATGACACCATTTCATATATACCACGGTCTGCAATAATGATTTTAGTTTAATTTTGTCCCCATATCTTATGCCAACAAAAACTGATTTGTAAAGCATGTTCCTCAATCCAGAACCAGATAATACTAAAGATAATTACTATGCCTGGTTAGAGTTTAAGAGCAATTTCCTGAAGCACCACTTGTAAAAGTGAAAGAACATACATTGGAATGAGTGCTGTTCAGTTATATAGTAAAAGAAAAATAAGGAATTGTTGCATACAGCCTGTTTTCCAATATTAGTTTAAACAATACCCGTACTGCACCTTATGAGCCCACAGAACCTTTAATAGTATGATTTTCCTGTGTGGATCCACAAACTCTAAATTTCCTAGGCACACAGAAAAATCAGTTATAGTCTAATTTCAGTTTATTTACGAATATGATCAGTACTTCATCATCTAAAAATAGGAGTTGTTATTAAAATCTAAAGCAAAATTTGGATTTCTTCTAGAAACCAAATGATGTATTTATTTTAAATAAGAAAAGAACCTAATAGCTATGTTAACAAACATCTTATTATAGGACATTTTTAAATAACCCTGAAAACTGCAACACTGTTTTATATTTTCATTTAAAGAAACCCATTAAATTTTAAAAAAAATTTAAAGATTTAACCTATAACTCAATTTTAAAATAGACTCATAGATCTGAGGAATATCTGAACCTAAGAAAAATTTTAACTTGTGATAAGGACATTTAATCTTGCCTTAGAAAACTATTGTTAATTAGTGTTCTCATTTTTCATGTTCCTTAAATTTATCCCTGCCTTTAAGATTATGAGATTTGCTTCTTATGAATGTTGGCCGAACCACATGAAGGACTGAACAAACCTTTGGCAAATTAAAACAGAGACTGACTAATTCAGGCCATTGTTAGAATTTTAAAAAATCCATTTCTTATATATTTAGCTTTGACTTGTTTGCTTTGACTTATTTACTTTGTATAAATTATCAGTTTCAGTTATTTGGCTTGGCAATCAATGCACAGTTAGAGAAAAGTGGAAAAAATTTTAAAAGATAAATCTAGATTTAAAAAAATACCCTAGATATTTGATACAGAAGATATCTTGTCATAGTATGGTAGGTTTTAAAAATAGAAGTTTTTCTCCTTTTTTAGCTTAAATAAAAAGGCAGACAGTTTTTTCTTATCTAAATCTTTATTAGAAGAAAAAAACAAATAGATTTAAAATAATGAGTAACAACAAATTTCATTAAATATTAAATATTTTAGTTATCAAAGATATTTAGACAATATGTTCCTAATATTTCTGCACAGCAGAAGCACACTGATTATAGAGCTCAGACTGTCATGTGCTCATGTGAGTTCGTTTTTGGCATAAAAGAATATCCAAAGTCACAGTTAGATGTGATAATAGATAAACTGCCAGTAACTTGCTGTTGATTCTCAGAGCTTTCACAAACTATCATTATGCAATTGACATTCCTTTAGGGTGAATGTTTTATGGACTCTTTCTATAACACTAACACACTGAACTCATTCTCTTTAAAGTTAGTTAGTAGTACTAATAAAATTATTTAAAATTGAATTAGAAATTATGTTCCTGTTTATATTAGCACAATAAAAAGTAACATAAGTAAACTGATTATTTCATATCAAAAGTTAGAAAATGGAAATAACACATAGAACACCTGATAATGTTAAAATCATTTAAAATGGAGCTATTCAGTCCGTGTCACCTGTGAGCACCCTTTCTAGGAGTAAAGTTTCCCTTTGTAATTTCTTAAAATTTCCCTTTCTACTCTGTAAAACACTGAGAAATGTAGTCTTGCACCTATTGTATTTTCAAAGATCTACCATAGAAAAGATTACATTTTAAACTCACTTGTAGTAAAAAAAAAAGAGCAAGCCCAACACGTGTCCTTTCAGGTTTTTTTCTTGCGTATAGTACACATTCGTGAGTGTCCACTAGGCGCAAGGGAAATTGTTTATGCTGCAAATGTCCTCTGTCTAGTGAGGATATCAAACCTACTGAAATGACAAGGAGTTTCCAACCAGTGAGCTAAGAGGAAAACAAATGCAAGAAGACTTCTTTCAATCACTGAACATTGCAGGTTTTTTTTTTTTTTAAGAATGTTTGTAAACTTGCCCACAAAAGCTGGGTAATATTAAACAGCCAGTAAGGCACTTTGTCAGAGAGGACGAAGTAGTAAAGGCTGGATGATTGACAATTTGTTTAATAGGAAACAGTCTATCCTTAGAGCAAAATCTGGAGTGGGGCGCTCCTCTTACTGATTTACTGTCAAACAGGAGTGGGGAAAACTTTAAAATCTTCTATTTCACTTTGTTTACCAATTTTCCCTGCAGAAGTCATTTAGTTGTAGTTTTAAAAATATATTAGGAGCTATCCAAACAATGTATCATTTTTCAATCTAAGACTTAAAACAATATTCACATATCCACTAGCATTTTTAAAACATCCAAGCCACTCTATTTAAAAATGAATTACAAACCAAAAGATCTCGGTATAAAAAATGTTCCATGTTATTAACAATTCCCTTGCGACTTCTGATGGCTTCACATATTACAGTATAAGCTTTGGTATAAAACATGCACAAAAAGCCAACAAGGTCATGAATCCAGTGTTCCATACACAAAGCACTTATGAAACCAGAGGAGCACAGACACAGCAGATGAAGGAGAGGTAACACCGCTGCACGATGACCAGCGTTTGCACTTCTACTGCTTCTCAGTTTGTGCATTTTGCTCTTTCAAAATCTTCAGCAGAGACTGACTCATGTAATAGGGTCTTTCAGTAGAACCATCGTTTCTTTCTAAATCTTCCACTAGGAGGAAGAATGGCACAGGGTAAATATCAACGCAAAACTGTAAGAGAAGTAACATCGCCATCTGCTGCACACTTGCTTTACAGCAGCTCAAAATGTTATTTTTAAAAAACAGCGAAGTTTGGCATCAACATTATTGTAAACATAACTATAAGAGAACAATCAGCCCTTGTGATTATGTCAGTAAGATATTATCTTGTTCTGTGTACCAGGTCTGATTCTGCCAATAGCACCTGCCTCTCAGCTGCATGGTTGGGGAAATAAGTTTTATCTTCTTTTGGAGAGCAAATGAAATTACATACACACAAAAAAAAGATGTATGAAGAATTTCTGAATTCACCTTCAAATTCTTGAAAACTATTATGCACTCAATTTGCCTTCTAAATTACCATATTTGTTCAAATTGCTTTTGTCTTCTGAACAACAATTTAAATAGTAGTTTTTTTAATTTGTAAAATTTTAGTGAATTTCAAATCCTTAAACTGTAAATTTTGAGAAGTATTGCTCTGATTTTTTCACAATTACTTTAAGTTCTTTATAAGAAAGTGGCTTCTAATTTTTTTCTCAAAAATAATGCTCATTTTTAGTCTATATATTTCAATGGCACAAAGAAGTAATTAATGAATTTTTTTCTGACTAGAATTAAGCACATAATATAGTTAAAACTTCTCTACTTAGAGATTCCTTAAGTATTAAAAAATTATTAAGAAATATTGAACCAAACAACATTTCCTTTTCCTATGACTTTGTACCCGAGGGTTATATTCTTAAAATATAGCTAAGTTTAGAATGTATCTCCATATAGTTCAATGAATACTTTTACTGTGGAGAATTTTCTGGTCTAGTCAGTAGATTTAATGTTAAACATTTAACACATGGCCTCCATCAAGTACCAAGAATCTAAAATACAGAAGTTATGATTGTTAGAATTCTCCAAGTTAATCTCCTTTGTATTTATCAATTTGCTAACTTCTAGAACAGCCAAAAATATAAGGAGAAAATAGGCAACTGGTTTCACACATGTTGATTTATATTTTATTCAAGTGATTTTCCAACTTTTATGTGTATCAGAACCACTAGAGAACTTTATAATAAATCACAAGCTGTCCCACACCTAAATATTTTTATCAGAATCTCTGAAGGTGGGGTACAGGTATCTATAACAAATTCTCAGAGTGATTCTGATATACATACAAAAAATTAAAAATTGTTTTGTTTCATCATTATGAATTTCTCAACTACTTGTAGAAGGGGACTTATTCATTATAATTTTTCAACAGTTAAAATAGAGGTAACTATTTTACTAGAACTTTGTTGTGACCCCCATATTGTTGAATAATACAATCATAATAACCATCTAGGAGTATAGGTTATCACTCTTCTCTGAATTATCTTTCAAGGGGTATAAGAATGAAGAAGGCCCTTTGCCAAGATATGAAGCCAAATGACACTTTTGATCACAATAATCTCAAGAAAGTAAGCCAAGAACAAGATGGTGGTCATTACAAGGACTAACATTTTGAAAAGCTTCCCCATTCACTGGCTTCTTGCTATTAAGTTGCTATAAAGTCGGTCTAAATCTAGGTTCCTACACTTCAGGATCGTTAAATAATAAGAATTTAGATTAACTTATAATATAATACATTTCTGACTCTTCTTGAATACATGGATCATATTCAGATCAAAATGTTAGATCAACATATTCCTTTCTGTCGAGACATAAATAATCCTTATACGCAAACTTAGTGTAAAAGCCAAAAGGATACTATTGATTCAGTGCTCCTTTTAGGGGGTACATTTTTACACTGTTAGCCATGTCATACGCACTTGCACACAGGAGATGGATAGGCAAAGTTCGCGAGTGTCTGATTCATGCTTTGCTCCGCCATGCAAAAGACTAAGGCATGGCTGCCAGAACCTGTTTTGCTGCTCTGGCCAGCAGGGGTGGAGTTTGAAAATAACTTTCCTCCTAAACCCTTCAGAAGGGATCTCCTAACCCACAGTGCGCCCCTTGTAAAGGTACAGACGAGGTACCTGTGGAGGGCTAATATTTCCTTAGGGGAAAATCTGAAGTGTCTTACTTATCTCTTCTCTTTCTTCATTGAAAGTTAAGCTAAAATTAAGCCTTTTATTGAACAGAGCCACACAACCTCTTTAATCTAGAAAAACAGGCATGCTCATGAAAGATATAATCACTCTTGAAACAGACCCATACCAATCTTCTATATGGTGGGCATGGGAAAATAGGGATTTGTCTCCATTTGGGTTACAGACAAATGGCATGAGTTATGTGCCATCTCAGTTCCGTTTAGAATATTTCCACAGTGGCCTGAGGTTCATATTATTGGAAATGACATTCCAGAACTCAGATTCAACCTCACTGTAAATATAATTCTCTAAAATAAAATGGGATCTGAGGCTTCCACAGTAATTTTTACCTAGCAACCCTCGCCATGGAACCTGTATGACATTAACATATATATGTCTGTTATGGTCTCAAATCATTTACTGAAATATACTTCCTAGGGAACCGTTACTACAAGTTTCGTCACAGTTTAGAGAGTTGTCCACTAGGTTGAACAGTATAAATATAACCATAGCACCATATTTACAAATTTAGTACCAAATGCTGGTTAACTAGAAATCAATCTTTTTATGGCTAATTGACTATACATTTACAGTGCTTTCAAAAATAGCCTGAATATCCTTTACAAATACACATTTATAAAAAAGAAAGGCTATCAAACTGCTGCAATGGGAAACAGCATGCCAAGTTATAAAAGTTTTGGAAACACTTTTGGCTATAGACTTTAAAAAAGATGTGTGACATTTACACCTTGTTCTTCAATGGGGACCACAGTCTATCAAGTACTCCAGTTCAAATGCCCGACACCTCAGATGGTACCAGGTTCTGGCTTTTTAGGAATAAGCACTGAAATTTCACATTATGTAAAAGCATCATTTTCAAATTACAAATGACCTAATGTACAAAACTTCTACTTAAAAATGAGTGGCACTGTTTGGAGCTTTTCTACTCTTTCTGCTTCTGGGGAACTAGTTGCTTCTTGTTCAGAATTCCGTGCAGGGTAGGGGCTATGAAGTAGGGTTTTTCTGTAGATCCATCATTTCTTTCCAGATCTTCACCTGTATATGCAGCAGCCAAAGCAGGCAAAAGCAGCAAGCAGCAGCAGAATAATTATATGCATTTTTATAAATTGGAGAGTCGAACAGGGAAAAATCAGAGAAAGCAGTGTTAGAAAGTCAAATATAAGACAAATTAGTGCAGTTAAGTAGCTGACACTGGTCAAAGTACGAAGCTTCAACCTCTGCCAGGAAGCACGGAAACTTCCTAAATTCCACCCACCCTCCAAAGAGGTTTATTTTGATAGTTTAAGGGTTAGTAAGACCTTTCATATCCTTTCAAAAGTGTTATCTTTAAATTCTATGGCTGTTCATTTCAGAAAGGTAAATTGCCTACATCCTCTGAGATGAAGCTGAACAAAAAGGGTGGTATGGTAACTGTAGAGGATAAGTGAATTTCAGAGTTTAAAGTTGCTCTTAATGGTAATCCACACCCTAACGTTACAGATGGAGAAACTGAGACCCAGGGATGTAAAATGACTCTCCTGAAGCCAAAAGCTATGAGGCAATGAGGAGAGGAGGTGAGGACCAGTCTCTTGACACCTACTTCAACTCTCATCCTACTTAACTGAAAGGTGTCCTGTCCTAAATCCTTGCATTTGGCCTCAGATGACATTCAAAAGCTAATACCAGTGTTCCCTGACTTCTGTAATACATGAGTTTACGTTTCTGCTTTGCTGAGGTAATGATACAACGATGGGTATTCACTGAGCACACATCTGTTGGGTGGTTGGAGGAGAGCATCAGAATGATGCTGAGAAGCAAGGAGAAGTTTGCATGGAATTAAATTTCCTGCAGATACATACAATTCACAGCTGATAATATCCCAATAAATATATAACTGCAACTTGATTCTTTGTTTTGACTAGTAATTAAAGTATTATTTTTTAGCCTTTATTTATTATGAAATAAAGGATAAGAAAATTATGTAAAAGCATATAGGATAGTCATAGATTTATGAAATGAATCTAAGTTGATTTTCATCCTACTCTCTTGGGAATGGTTGGGTTATTGGTTTATCAGATTTTTATATTAGACCTCACAGTGACTTTCCTCACATAGGAAATGAAAAGCTAAGGAGGGATCATGTTAGATGCTGAACATTTTTGTTCTTTCTCCCTTAATCGTATTCCTGTGTCATATATCATGTCACATACTGTATGCCTATATCATTATTACTTTTGAGGAATTGGTAGGAACTGTGGTGTGGATCACATAATAAAGATAATAATAATCTACAACTACTGTTTTTTTCCACCTTGGGACCAGAATTCTCACTGCCTTGTAATGTTGAAAGGATGCTGCTTCTATAAATGAACTGTTTGCAGTTGGTTTGCATTTAAAAAAAACACCAGTTTTCTGACAGCCAAGATAATAGGTATAAAGAGGTAAATGTGTGTGTGTGTATATATATATATATACACACACACCTAAGAAAGGTACAGTTTCACACAACCAGAATTTGGCTGAGAGCATCATTTAAGAAGAATATTTTCCAAAGTTAGATGTTGCCCATAGTAACAGCTGGAGAGGGACAAGAAATACAGTTTTGTTTCTCTTGTTCTTTATTATCAAAGACAAGAATAGCCAAAAGGAAACTATTCACATTCAACACACAATGTGTTGAATAAGGCTGAAATCATACCTGATTTTCAAAAATTGGCAACTATTAATATAGATGAGTGGAAAACATTTCCTAGTGCTCAGATTTAAAATCCACTGTCAAAATCCAAAAGATTTGCCAAAGACTGGAAACTCATGGGTTCTAGACATTTCCTGGGATACATTCTGAGAAAGTTACAAGAATAGGGAAGACCCTTGTGGGATCTCCCAGTATGGCTCAGATTAGCAATGAAGATGAGAGAAGAAATCTTTGAACGTTCGAGAGCTCTGTCTCTTCTATGTCTTAGGCTCCCTTATTCCTGTTCTGCTTCTTCCATCTCATACCTGAGTGGAAGTTTGTTCATGTGGTATTTTGTAATGACTTTTCCTGACAAATCACACTGTGGCACTAGGAATTAAACATTCCGGTCTCATTTATAGCCAGGGGAAGAGCTACCTTGTATACAAAATTCTCCTGCTTTCTTTGTCTAGTTATTGCAAATTGATTTTTAAATGTTCAAAAAGAAAAAAATAAGATCAAACCATTTTTTAGAAGGCCCTTTCCTTCAGTATATCTCCCTAAAGTTATCATCTCCTCTCCTGACCCCAGCATGCAGTTGGTGCTGTGGGTTACACTAAAAAAAAAGTGTTTGTTTTATACAAGTGGATCACTCAGTAATGCCCTGTCATAGAATGTTTTCTCTCCTTCTCTTAAAAGCAATATGGCAGAGAAATAATCTTTCAGAGGGTATCAGCTGTAGGGCTAACAAGTTCTGTTCTTTCACCTGCTGACCCTACTCTTTCTAGGTTGAAGGTGAAGCCCAGTCAAGTTCCTGATGGGCACTACATTCTCCAGGTATTTTTTAGATGAGGTACTAATAGAAAACATATCCATTCTGCATACATTGAGTTGCACCTGCCACACAGAGACACAGCGAAGAAACCAGTGCTGAAAGCTCTAGTGAAGTATCTTAACTCTAAGCATCAGAGTTGATCTAGCCATTTCCTAGACACACATCTCTGCAAATCCTGCCTCTCTGTCATTGTGTCACCTAGTGTGAACTGGCCCTACGTGTCTGAAACCATTGCCAGCTTGACTTTATCAGAACCTGTAAAGGCTCTCTTCAAAGAGTTCCCAAAGTCCAGCCTCAAAGCCCTCAAAGTTATGTCCTTGGTTGTCAATAAAGCACAACGGAAGCCAATCATTATTATAAACTTGAAAAGATTAAGAACTTTAAAAATAATTTCATGCTAACACCATGCCATGATGCCTGAGGTTCATTTCAGTAGTAGACTTCCCTGTGCTTTGCAAAATCCATCTCTCGGCTGTTAAGGTTTAAAAAGTATCTACTAAACAATGTCTCTTTCCAAATAAACACTGTTTTGCAGTTGCAGCCAGGTCATAGCAAATCCACAAGCCAGCTAAGGACACGGGGTCTTAACCTTTCATCTTTTGGTTATCCACCAAGGGGGAAAACACGTATACTGAAAACTTACAGAAGCAGATGAAGATTGTTTCAATACACATTGCATAGACGCTGAAGAACCCATGTGCAATTAGGTAAGATCCAATGATGACTGTCTGTAAATGAGTAAAGAAGAGAATGAAGATGTCATTAACTTGTCCAGAGGAACAACAGTGCAGCTTTAAATGACGTCATGATGAGAAAGCTTTGAAGGACTGTGTGCTGGAAAAGATTTCAATATAGAAACCTAAAAAATTCAGTGATAATGTTTTTGAATGCCTTTGTACTGGGATTTAGACAAAATGTACTAGATTACCTGCCAGTTTTCTTATAATTTTCCCAGTGCCTACCAAAAACACCCGATTTAGTGCAGGCATACTGAGGCAGTAAAGCATTAGGACTTAAGAGCACACAATTGCCTAGGTTTGAATCACAGCTCAGGCACACACTCAACAAGTCACTTAACCACTCTGCTTCCTATATAAAATTGTTAGTGGAGAAGGGGAGAATGTGAGTAATAATGGTATTTATGACATATGGATTGAATGAGTTAATACGTTGTAAGAGACACTACAGGGCTCTACCCAGGTCCTCTCTAGCTGCATCTATCCCCTAGTAGTTTGGAATGCAGGCTGCTGATGACTCAGCTGTTTTGAGAATTAGAAACTGCCCTCCTTGCAGGGCGCTGCCTCACCCAACGTTACACAGCTGTTCAGACGGCAGCTGCTGGCCAATGCCTGCCTGCAGCGTACGGAGGCCCAGTCCTTTTGTCAGAACTTCCTGTGATTATGTGTAAGGCCTCAGTTATACCTGCAGAATGGGTCAGCTTCTTCTTTTGCCCTGGCCTGTCCTCCTCATATCTTTCCAAGTGCATCTCAGGAGAGCGCACTTCATAATAAACCTTCTGCATGCAATCCTCTGTCTCAGGGGGGTTGCTTCCAAGGAACCCAATCTCTAAAGCAGAATGAAGCTTGGCAGAAAGCAGTGTTAGCTAACATTATTTCTCCTACTCCTTTTTGGCTTTATTTTTCCATCTCTGATAAATCAGAGTCAATATTACCCAGATGCTCACGAAATGAACTGTGTCCCCTCAAAATTCATATGTTGAAACCTAATCCCTAATGTGATGGCATTTGGAGGTGGGGCCTGTGGGAGGTAATTAGGTCATGAGGGTGGAGCCCTCATGAATGAGATTAGTGCCCTTATAAGAGAAAACAGGAGACATGATATCTGTCTCCAACATGGTCAGATACAGCAAGAAGGTGTCCCTTTGCAAATTAGGAGGAAAGCTCTCACCAGGAACTCAATGTGTGGGCACCTTGATCTTGAACTTAGCTTTCAGAACTGTGAGGAATAAATCCCTGGTGTTTAATCCACCCAGGCTATGGTATTTTTGTTGTAGCAGCCCAAACTTACTAGGACATCAGCTCTTACCAGCAAGGGTACCCAGTAGTAATTTAAAGATGTTGGTCCTTCTATAATCATTGGGAGTCTTTGTGTGAAGAGTAGAAAGGCCAGGACACCTACAGTGAAAAGGCAGAACATCTATATTATGCATTTGCAAAGGAATATAGCTTTTTGAAGTAAAGAAGTTTTTCTAACTTTTCCAAGCACCTGTCAAACTTTTTATTGTCATTACTGCCACTACCCGAGTACCGCTGCTATTACTACTACTATTACTACTACTGCTACCACTGTTACTACTTACCTATGCACCCAGCAACTAGAATCTTCCCCAGGATGAGTACAAAGTCAGTAACTCTATCCATAACTGCAACTCTGAGAATCAGAAAAAAGAAAGTATAATTTCATGTTAAAATGACATTTGTTCCTTGAAATTTATGAGGGTAAATAATTCATGAATTCGTTTTGATATGTCTTTGCTGAAATTTTATTTGGCATTCGTTACATGCAAGAAATGAATGTAGAACCCAGGGGTGAATTTCTGACTTATTTTTAATGAAGTAAACAGAAGATGGCATTGTAGGGCTGTCAGGTGCTACTGGTGGTGTCAGCCTCGCTCTCTAATTCCAGGACCTGAATCCTGAGGGTGGCTGCATTTGTTCTCGGATTTTGTTCACTCAGACTGTCAGTTTTGGGAGGAGAGGAATGGTCGGAAACATGATGATAATATTCATGTGGGGAATTTCTTGAGCAGAAGGGATAATAAAAATGAGTAAGTGCCAATGGGTTTAAAGGCATAGGTGGATGATAGGATGAATAATTCTAAGACATAAGAAGACATTACTGGTGTGAAGGACAAGATTTAAATCTATTAAATTTAAAGATAATATTCATATCTAATAAGACCACCAACACTTTAAATAACAACATGTGAAGTATGGATGCTCAAGGTTCACCACATCATTTATTGCAATGCTCAACCTGATTACTTACTTTAAAATGTTTCTCATCAGCAGATTGAAAGCGTCTCTTGCTGACCTGCAGAAGTTTTTGCCATATATTGCGATCTGAGGAAGACAGTTGAATTTATCCTGGAGTCAGTAACATAACTTAACAAGAACAACAGACAATCCAGTGGCAGGAACATAAATTAATTCTCTATCACTCATACAGCTACTCTCTTTCTTCTTTTCCAACATTTGGGTTTGTGGGAGGCTAGGGAACTGTGTGTCCTCAGCTCTCAGAGTTATTGACAATAAGGTGTGTTTCAGTTGCTGTGTGCCCTTAAACTCCGTGGGGATTAGACAGCTGCAAACAGAGGTAGCTCTTCTTCTCAAATCCCAGGATATAGCTTTTGTCTTTGAAGTGTTTTGGCTATGGTTTTTTACTGAATGGGTTAAATGTTGCAGCATTCGCATTAAAAATTACACTCAGGAAACACAATGCCTTCCAGTAAACTTGATTTACTGATTAAAACGTTCAATACAATATTCTTACTGGAGGTACATTAATGATGCTGAATGTCTATGACTATTTGAGTCATCCCTCCAGATCCTATATTACTGGGAAAAATAAGCAAGTGTTACAAGGTTGTAGTTGCTAAATTTTAGAATAGTTTTTGGATCCCCTATTTAAAAAAATCTCTTTAGGAGCCTCCATATTCCCACAGGAAATAAGTAACAAATTCAGTTAGGCATTGTCAATTTCCAAACATTTTAACATAAGATTCATAAAAAGAAAGACTCTTCCTTAAAAACACGTAAATCCCACAATTAGAAGAATATTTTCTTCTCAGAGTGAAACACAGACTAAGTAAGCTTTCCTCCCACTAAACTATCTAGCAAATTTTTGTATTTCTAAGGTATAATATTTTTCCTCTCCAAAAATATATTGAAGGTAATAATGAAGTACAGTTAAGTTACTGTCCCAACTAGGAAAACATAGCCCTGAATCATGCACTGGATTCACAAATTCTTATATCAACATGGTGATAAATTCAGCTGCCTGATACGTGAATGCTTTGGAGATGGAAATGTAGACATAGGGTTTGGGTTTGCAAAGAAGAAGCTTAGTAAACAAAAAATAATTACTTACCATAACATAGGCATTTCTGTTCAAAAACCGTACTGCTTTTTCCAAACACCAGAAACAGCATCTCAGGCAGCATTTTAGGAATTTAGAGATGTTGCTCTGGGCCTCTATGAGAAGGGGATATTTACATCTATTAATGATTTGCAAATTCTATGAATCAAGAAAATAATAGTAAATTTTTAAATGGGCTTTTAAATTTTTTAATTGCAGTAAAACATCTATCCGATTTACTGTTTTAACCATTTTAAGTGTACGATTCAGTAGCGTTAAGTATGTCCACAGTTTTGTTCAACTATCATCACTATCAGTTTTTCGTTCTCACATAGAAACTCTATATCCAATAATTCCTCATTCTCCCCTTCTCCCAGCCCCTGGTAACCTCTATCATGCTTCTGTCTGTATGAATTTGCCTCTTCTAGATACCTCATGTAAGTGGAATCACATAATATTTGTTCTTTTGTGTCTTGCTTATTCACTTAGCATTAAGTTGTCAAGATTCATCATTACATTTCTTTTTAGAGCTGAATAACATTCCATTGTATGTATATATCACATAATTACTAATTCTTTTATCTGTTAATGGAAATTTGGGTTGTTTCTATCTTTTGGCTATTGTGAATAATGCTGCTGTAGACACTGGTATGCAAGCATTTGTTTCAGACCTTGCTTTCAGTTCTTTTGAGTATATGTCTAGAAATGGAATTGCTTGATCATATGGCAATCAAAATTTTTAACTTTCTGAGGAATCACCTTACTGATTTCCACAGTGTCTATACAGTGTTAACATTCCCACCAGCAATGCACAAGGGTTCCAATTTATCCTCATCCTATAAACACTTGCTATTTTTCACTTTTTTGGATAGTGGCCATTCTAATGGGTATAAAGTGGTACCTCATTATGGTTCTGATTTGCATTTCCCTAATAACTAATATTGAGAATGGTGTTTATTCACCATTTATATATGTTCTTAGAGCAAAGTAAATGCAAGTCCTTTGCAGGAGGGACAAAGATTGTGATATAGGAGGCTCCTGAACTTCCCTCCTCCCACAGATGGACTGAAGGTACAGCTATACATGGAGTGGTTTCCTCTGGGATAAATCCAGAAACAAGCTGAGTGACTCCTATACATCAGGCAACTAAGAAAATCACACACTGAAATGGTAGGAAAGGCTGAGACACACTTGCCATAAACCCTATCCCTGGCACAGTACCATATAATTGGGACAATACCCCAAATCGCAGCTTCTCCCTGAGGAGTGAAGGGTTTGGACAGCACATCAAGGAGTCCAGCTTTTAAGGCTCCCACCAAAAGGACAGACTCCTCCCCCACCCCCCAATACTTAGCTCTGAAAGCCACAGGGGCTTGGGTTCACAAGTTCTATAGGACTATAAAAACAAGCGATTCTTAACAGGTACTTATGCTAACAATCACTGTTCCCCCAGGGCTTAGCTCAGAGGGAGCAGGCAAAAATGCCCATCTTTCAGTCTTTCCCTGGGAGGGGACTAATGGCACACTTTGCAATCTGTTGCCTGAAAGTCTGGCTTCCAGTTTACACACTCTAGAGGCTAGCTGTGATCCTCCATGGAGCCAGGGGGAGCTAGTGGGTGTTTCCACTGCCTTCTCCCTCTAGCTCACTCCAATCACAAAACCAGGTCACCAACATCTCTTTGGAAGGAGCTTGTACACATGCCTTGTGCCCCAGCTTTTGCAGCTACTGCCTAAGGCCTGGGCACCACTTTGTCTGGCTCTGAGAGCCAACAGGGCTTACATTCATGAGTCCCTCAGAACTGTAGAAAACAAAGAATCAGTGTTTAAATTGTAAAGGAATGCCCCCCCCCGGCTATACATTCTGATTCAGTGCAGAAGAAGCAGGCAAATATCCACCTCTCAGTTTCTCCTGGAAAGGGGCTTAATTTCTTACTTTCCAAGCAATTGCCTGAGGGTTTAGCTTCTAATTAGCCTGCATCTAGGCTCTGACTGTGATTCTCCCCTTTGGGACACTGACAGCTCTAGGCACACCTTCAACTACTAATGGCCACTAAACTAACTATGGTGACTAGGACAGTCACAAAGGTTTGAGAGAACTGAAAGCTCAGGCTGGGCTAATTAATGAAGCTCATTTCCTATACGAGACTAGTCTCAAGTTGGGAAAGGTGGCTGTTTTATCTAATGCACAAAAACTAATACAAAGAATCAAGAAAAAAATGAAGAAACAAGGGATTATATTCCAAATTAAAAAAATAAGATACATCTCCAGAAACTGATATTGATGAAACAGAGATAAGTGATTTAGCCAATACAGAATTCAAAATAATGATCATAAAGCTGCTGACCACAGTCAGGGGAGCAATGCATGAACAAAGTGAGAATTTCAACAAAGAGAAAATATTTTTAAAAATCCAGCAGAATTCATAGAGCTGAAGAGTATAATAATTGAACTGAAAAATTCAACAGCGGGATTCAACAGCAGAGTAGATCTAGTGAAAGAAAGGATCAATGAATTCAAAGACAAGGCAGTGGGATTCATCCAATCAGAGAAGAAAAAGAAAATGAAAAGAGTGAAGTTAGCTTGAAGAATTTGTGAGACACCATCAATATACACATTATAGAGGTCCTAGAAGTAGAAGAGATGGAAAGAGGCAGAAAACATATTCAAATGACCGAAAAGTTCCCTAACCTGAGGAAACAAACATTCATCCAGATCCAGAAAGCACAAAGAATGCCAAAAAAGATGAATCTAAAGAGATCCACATTGAGACACACAAAATAAATTTTCAAAAGTTAAAATGCAAGTAAAGGCAGAGGGGAAAAGTAATTTGTTGCACATAAGGGAATCCCCATAAGACTATCAGCAGTTTTTTTAAGCAGAAACATTGCAGGCCAGAATGAAGTAGAATGATAAATTAAGAGTGCTGAAAGAAAAATATGCCAGGCAAGTTCTTCAGAATTAAAGGAGAGATAAAGAGTTTTCCAGACAAACAAAAGCTGAAAGAGTTCATCACCAGTAGACCAGCCATATAAGAAATGTTAAAGAGAGTTCTTTAAGCTGAACAAAAGGATGCTACTTAGTAACATGATAATATATGAAAATATAGAACTCACAGATAAAGGTAAACATACAGTTAAATTCAAAATACTCTAAAATTATATGGTGGTGGGTAAATCACTTATAACTCTAGTATAAAGGCTAAAAGACAAAGTATTAAAAAGAACTATAACTATATAACTTGTTAATGGATACACAATATAAAAAGATAAATTGTGACTTCAAATACATTACAGCATAAAATATGGGGGAGTGTAAAAAATAGAGAGCCTTTGTATGCACACAAAGTACAGCTTAAAGTAGATTGTCATAACTGTAAGGTATTTATATCAGCCTCATGATAACTACAAAGCAAAAACCTACAGTTGATACAAGAATCAAAATATATCACTACAGAAAATCATCAAATTGCAAAGGAAGTGATAAATAAAAAAACTATAAAACAGCCAGAAAAACAATTAACAAGATAGAAATAGTAAGTCTATAGCCATCAATAATTATAACTGAATGTAAATAGACTAAGTTCTCCAATCAAAAGACATAGAGTGGCTGAATGAATTTAAAAAAAACCCTCAAATATATGCTACCTGTAAGTCTCATCCTAAAGACACAGCTAGACTGAAAGAGAAGGATTGGAAAAAAGATTTTCCCTGCAACTGGAAACCAAAAGAAAGCAGGTGTACAACATATGCCTGTGTCAGTCAAAATAGACTTTAAGCCAAAAGCTGAAACCAGACAATACAATGATAAAAGGATCTGTTTATCAAGGGGATATAAAAATTGTATTTATCTACCCAACACTGGAGCACATAAATATATAAAACAAATATAAACAGATACAAAAGAAGAAATGAATAGCAATATAATAATAGGGCTTTTAAAACCCCAATTTCAATAATGGATAGATCATCCAGACAGAAAATTTAAGAGAGAGACATTAGACCTAATTACATATTAGACCAGATAGATTTAACAGACATTTACAGTACATTCCATCCAATCACAGCAGAATACACCTTCTTCTAAAGTGCATATGGAACAGTCTCCAGGACAGATAATATGATAGGCTACAAAACAAGTTTTAATAAATGTAGGAAGTCTGCAATCACATCAAGCATTTTTTCTAAACACAATGGTATGAAACTAGAAATTACTTACAATAAGAAAATTGGAAAATTCACCAATATGTGGAGATTAAATAGCATGCTACTGAATAATCAGTGGGTCAAAGAATAAATCAAAAGAGAAATCAAAGAGTATCCTGAGACAAATGAAAATGGAAACACAACATACCAAAATGTATGGGATGGGATGCAGCAAAGCAGTTCTAAGAGGGAAGTCCATAGCAATAAACACCTGTTAAGAAAAAAGAAAGATCTCAAACAACCTAACTTTACACCTCAAGGAATTAGAAAAGGAAGAAAATAAGTACAAAGTTAGTAGAAGGAAGGAAATAGCAAAGATCAGAATGGAAATAAATGAAACAGAGACTTAAAAATAATAGGAAAGATAAGTGAAACTACAAACTAGTTTTTTGAAAACATAAAGTTGACAAACCTTTCTCTAGACCATTTGAGAAAAAAAGAAGAGGCAAATTCAGAACTGAAAGAGGAGACATTACAACTGATACCACACATATAAAAAGGATCATGGTTCAGACTACTATGAACAATTATACACCAACAAATTGGACAACCTAGAAGAAACACATAAATTCCTAGACATATACAACTTAACCAAGACTGAATCATGAACAAATAGAAAATATGAACAGATCAATGACTAGTGAGGATTTTGATTCAGTGATCAAAAAGCTCCCAATAACAACAACATAAAAAGTCCAGGATCGACTGGCTTCACTGGTGAATTCTATCAAACATTTAAAGAAGAATTAATACCAATCCCTCTCAAACTCTTTCAAACAATAGAAGTGGAAAGACTTTTTCCAAACTTATTTTATGAAGCCAGCTTTACCCTGATACTAAAGCCAGATCAAGACACTGAAAGAATAGAAAATTACAGTTCAATATCCCCGATGAACATAAATGCAAAAATCATCAACAGAATATTAGCAAACTGAATTCAACAGTGGGTAAAAAGAATGATACACCAAGATCAAGTAGGATTTATTGCAGGGATGCAAGAATAGTTTAACATACACAAATCAATAAATGTGATGCTCCACATTAACAAAATGAAGGATGAAAATCATATTGTTGTCTCAATAAATGCAGAAAAATTACTTGACAAAATTTAACCTTCTTTCATAATAAAAACTCTCAACAAACTTGTTAAATAAGGCCTCAACATAGTAAAGACCATATACGACAAGCCAACAGCTAACATCATAGTCAATGATGAAAAGCCTCTAAGCTTTTCTTCTAAGATCAGGAACAAGACAAAAATGTCCACTCTTGTCCCATTTTGTTTTAATTCAGTACTGGAAGTCCTAACCAGAACAATTAGGCAAGTTAAAGAAATAAAAGGTATTAAAATCAGAAAGGAAAAAGTAAAATTGTAACTGCAGATCACATGATAATAAATATATATAAAACCCTACAGTCTCCAAAAAACTATTAGAACTAACATATGAAATCAGTAAAGTTTCAGGAAATAAAATAAATATACAAAAATCAGTTGCCTTTTTTACACTAACAACTAGCTACTTCAAAGAGAAATTAAGAGAACTATTCCATTCATAATTGGATCAAAAATAATAATATATCTAGGAATAAATTTGAATGAGAAGAAATACTTGTGCATTGAAACAGATAAGTGGAAAATAGCCTATGTTCATGGATTGGAAGAATTAATATTAAAATGTTCATAGTAGCCATGTATGTACAAATTCCATGCAATCCCTATCAAAATTCCAATGCCACTTTTCACAGATATAGAAAAAACAATCCCTAAAATTTGTATGGAAACACAAAATATCCAAATAGCCAAAGCAATTGAGAAAGAAAAGCAAAGCTAAAGGCATTGTACTTCTTGATTTCAAGCTCTATTATAAACCTATAGTAGTCAAAACAGTCTGGTATTGCCATACAAATAGACACATAGATGAACATAACAGAATAGAGAGCCCAGAAATACACATGCATATATGGTCAATTAATTTTTCACAAAGGAGTCAAGAATATACAATGCAGAAAGGACAGTCTCTTCAATAAATGATATCGGGAAAACTAGATACCCACATGCAAAAGAATGAAATTGGACCCTTACCTTACCCTGTACACTTATCAACTCAAAATGGATTAAAGACTTGAATGTGAAACCTGAAATCATAAAATCCTAGAAGAAAACATGATAAGCTCCTTGACATTGGTCTTGGCAATGATTTTTTGGATTTCACACCAAAAGCAAAGGCAACAAAACCAAAATAAACAAGTGGGACTACATCAAACTAAAAAGCTTTTGTATAGCGAAGGAAACTATCAGCAACATGAAAAAGTAACCTACTGAATAGTAGAAAATATTTGCAAACCACATATATGATAAGGGGTTAATATCCAAAATATGTAAGAATTTACAGAACTCAACAGCAGAATATCACAAATAATCCAATAAAAAATGGCAAAGAACCTGAACAGAATTTTTTCAAAGACATACAAATGGCCAATGGGTGCATGAAAAGGTGGTCAACATTACTTATTATCAGAGAAATGCAAATCAAAACCACAGTGAGATATCACCTCATACCTGTTAGGATGTTTATTATCAAAAAAACAAGAGATAACAAGTGTTAGTAAAGATGTAGAGAAAAGGGAACTCTTGTACACTGCTGGCAGGAATGTAAATTGATGCATCGACTATGGAAAACAATATGGAAGTTCCTCAAGAAATTAAAAATAGAATTACCATATGAGTCAGCAATTCCACTTCTAAATATATAACTGAAGGAAACACAATGACTGTATTGAAGAGATATCTGCACTCCAATGTTCACTGCAGCATTATTTACAATATCCAATGTGTGGAAACAACCTAGGTTTCATTAGATGGATCAGCAGATAAAGAAAATAGTGGTATAGACACACGATGGAATATTATTCAGCCTTAAAATAGAAGGAAATCCTACTCTTGCAGTAATGTGAATGAAGCTGAGGAGCATTACGCTAAGTGAAATAAGCCAGACAAAAAGTAATATGCATGGTATTGCTCGTAAGTCAGTGGGCGGGAGTTGAATGTATTATATAAACAGAGTAGAACTGTGGTGCCACATGTGCCACATACTGGGAAATAAGGAGAAATAGAGACAGGCTGCTAAAAGGGTGTGAGCTTTCAGCTATATGATGCATAAGGTCTCAGGATCTAACGTATAACATGTTGAGTATAGTTGATAATACTATATTGTATAAGTAAAACTTGCTGAGAGAGAAGAGCTTAAGCATTCTCCCCAAAAGGGGGGAAAAAAAGCTAAATATGTGAGTTGAACAGATGTGTCCCACCTTAAATGTAGGAATCCTTTCACAATGTATATGTGTATCAAATCATGTTGTACACTTTAAAAACATTACAATTTTATTGTCAATTTTACCTCAGTAAAGCTAAAAACAATTACTTGATTTAAAAAATCCTTTGCCCATGTTGAATTGGGTTGTTTTATTGTTTAGTTGTAGAAGTTCATTATATATTCTGAGTATTAGTTGCTTATCCAGTGTATGATTTGTAAATATTTTCTCCCATTCTGTGGGTTGTATTTTCACTCTCTCAATAGTGTCCTATGATGCACTTTTAAAAAATTTTGATGAAGTGTAATTTATCTGTTTTTTTTCTTTTGTTTACCTGTAGTTTTGGTATCATATCCAAGAAATCATCAATATATCCAATGTCAAGAAGATTTCCTCCCATGCTTTTTTCTAAGACTTTTATAGTTTTAGCTTTTATGTTAAGTTTTTGATCCATTTTGAATTAATTTTTGTATATGGTGTAAGGTAAGGGTCCAACTCCTTTCTTTTGCATGTAGGTATACAGTTTTCCTAGTAACATTAGTTGAAAAAAATTGCCCTTTCCCCATTGAATGGTCTTATATGTGAGGGTTTTTTTGGGGTTCTCTATTCTATTCCACATCTATATGTCTGTCCTTATACCAGTGCCACACTGTTTTATTACTGTAGCTTTGTATTGAGTTTTGAAATCAGAAAATGTTAATGTTCCAACTTAGTCGTTCTGTTTCAAGATTATTTTGGCAATTAATAATAAAATCTTTTAATTCTAAGCAGAGTTTATGTGTTTATGGACTATATGTGTCATGTATGAAGATTTATGCCAATAACATCCACATGTATATTTTAAGCCTGACCTGTCCTGAGCTCTAGACTTGGGACCACCTGATATTCCCACTATGCTTCTCAATATTAAAAACAATTTTAAATCTCTTCTTTCAAATTTACTTCTCCTGGTTTCCACATCTTAGCAAATAGCATCATAACTTCTGTTTTCTTTACCACTGCTACTCTCCCTACCCCTGCCCCCCATCTTTAATCCCTCAACTAGTCCCATTGGCTTTTCCTTCCAAACATATCCCCAGTCTGACCACATCCATTCTTATTACCATAGTCCAAGCTACAGTCATCATATTTCCCCAAGGCCCTTGACCCAGTCTATTCTCTTCATAGAAGTCAAGAAGTCTGAGTAAAGATGAATTCTGGAATCTTACGTTTAAGACGTTTGTCCAAGTACTCTAGGATTAATCTAAACATTTGAACTGTTGCAAGAATTAAAGATCCAAATGCTAGGGATCCTGTGTGATATCTGGGCAAAGATAAAAGGAGAATAAAGGTTAAAATATCTTTACTATTAACTAAAAGGATGTTAGTTCATTTTTATCGGTAAAAGGGATCTGCAGAAGGATTGATAGAAAGAGCTTCTTACACTCTCTTACTCAGATTGACAAAGGTCTCCATAGAGGATTTTAAACCATGTACATCTGTTTTGCACTTCATTTACAGAAGTGATACCAATAGCCTGTCATCATAAAATAGTGTATTTGAGCTGAGCAATGAAGAAAGGGAAAAGCTAATCCTTAATATTTGATTTGGTGCCCTCCCCTACCTCTTCTCTCCAGTAACCTTTCAGGGTAGGGCATATACAACTGTGGCTACAAAACCAGACAAAGCTGATGGACATCCAGGAATCTTGAATTATACCTTTGACCTCATTTGTACCTCGCCACTTGAATTACAAGCACACTAAACATAACTGGGAAGACAGGTGTAGGGTTCCATGTGAAACTTACCGTATGGCTCGTCCAAATGCATTAAAAAGTGGGTATGGTGGGATGTCATCAGGTTTCTTCAAGGCCCAGTAATAGGAAGCAAAGGCACCAGCTAGGGCACACTGACCCAATGCAATGACAAAGTTTATAAGCCAGAGAAAGACGAATAGGTTGAATATCTGGAAGGTAGTAATGTACTGATGGTACAAGCTTTTTCCACCATAGAAAGCAAAGTTACACTGAGCCCCAGGGCAAGCTTTGGCAACTTCAGTTGTATTAAAAATCTGCATTCAGGGAAAAAAAACCAATATGAATAATATAGCATTAAGTGCCATTCCAAGATAGCACCTTCCCTGCCTTGTCTTATGTAGCCCTCAATTGCATGTCCTGCTTTTTTTCTATTAATTTCTGCTGTTATTCTCATTTTCTATAGTATTACTTTACATAATTCTTTAATGAGCTCTAGAAAGTATCTCATTTTTCGTTATATGTTCATCATTCTGCATCCACTATCATTTTACAATTATTAGTGCTGTTGTTGACCATACTGCCTTGTAGGTCTATGATAGGACAAATGAGCTCAGGAAATAATAGTGCTTTTTCTCTATTCTGCCCACCATATTCAGTGCCCTCCTTTGAACGCCTGACCCACCCTCCCCATCCCTCCAATAATCCCCATCAATGCACAGGCTCTCTATTTCAGGATGATTCCTACAACAACTGATGGGTGAAATGTAAGTAGGATTCTGTATTTAAGTGCATAAAAGAGAGCCTCTTTTACTTACCTTTGGGTCACAGGTTTTATTTTCATGTTTACATTGCCCCTCTGGAGTTATGACTTTGTATATAGGTACCCCTGATGTAGCCAAGTAACTGAGCGAACTCTATTAAGGATAGATAAACTGTTTGCTGGTAGGTGGAAAGTCAATGGACAAGAAAATAATGCAAGTAACTAAAAAATCCACTGAGAGATTATTTTCAAAAAATGTATAATCTTTTAATAATTCATTCATTTTCAAATGCAGAATAATAAACATGGGTCAGCTGCGCTGAGAGGCCCCTTAAAAACAGTGAAATATATAGGAGATCTTTTAGGTCTTGCCAAGGAGCATATATGCGAAGACAAAAATAAAACAAAATCTACCAGATGACCTATTTGAGGGGAGATCCAGTTGGTACACTGAAACTTTTTTAGAGCTTGGCAGTCATCACCATCATCATCAACTCAGTTACATTCTTAGGATGTTCCTAGACTTCCCAGGATATGTGGACCTGAGGTTTAAAGAGGTCAATGACCAAAGGATACATTGCTATCACAGCCCAGTAGGAAATGCAGATTGAGAGGAAGATGAAAGTTAAAACTGGATAAATTAATGTAGTAGGGATATATCCAATGGCTCTGAAATAAAACAAATAGTTGAAATTCAAAATGATCCAAAAATCATAATTTCTCAATGAAATTTTTTCCTGTTAGAACTAGAAATAAGCCTTAAACTGATTTCCTTCTAAGAATGGTGGTAATAACCAAAGACTCTTTTTTGTTGGTTTTTAAATTCTAGTTATGTATTCAGTTTTAGTAAGTTAGAGGCATTCTTCCAATGCTCATGTTTGATTTGTACCAAAAGTTCCCCAAGCCTTCTCCTTTTGGTTATTTCTGTCTGACTCATAAAGATCTGATGTATTATAACCATGGTATTTCTCCCTTTCATTTAGACTTTTAAAGTTGGAGAGGACCTTGAAGATCATCTGATCAAAAGTAAGAATCCATCCCTAATTCAAGAATCCTTTCTGAAATTTCTTCAAAATATGTTCATTAGTGTCTGATGCACATTGAGTGAAAGAAACTTACTTTTATATGATACAGCTTATTCTATTTTCTTAACAACCAAAGTATTAGAAAATTCTTTCTCATCTGCCTGCCTGTAATTCGCATCCACTACCTTCTGGAAAAGAAGTGGCCATCTTTTGCTTACAACAATCCTTCAAGTAACTCATTTTTATAGTCTCCAGCAAAATCATTCTTTTGGCATTTCTTCATCAACTATGGTTTCTAAAATATTCACCATCCTAGTTGCTTTATTACTATTTTTGAATAAGACAGCATACGACATTGAATTAAACCCTCTGCTGTTTGATGTAGCCACTGAGAACTAGGATGGAGCTATTTTCACTTCTAATGCACTGACGCATCTTAGACTTGTTTTTGCATTTGTGACCTTTCCACCTCACTGTCTGGGCTGTGCTGTTCTCTTTTCTCCAGACACTGCTGTTTAGTGAATTACTGGGCATCCTTATGTTTACCCTGTATTCTCACACCCATTTATTCCAGCTCTTACTTTCCCTTGAAAGAGTGATTAACTTGTCACAGTAGTAATTGCCCTTGAACACACATGCACACACAGAAACATACACACACACACATTTAGAGGCATAGCAGTGGGATAAGTTACAGTGAATAGCACAATATCATACTATTTAAGAACTAAACCCAACAAATCGGTAGTTTCCAGTGGCTAATGATAGAGCTTCAGTTATTGTGGGAAGGAGAGAGGGTTTAATTTAACAAACTACTTGTTAACTATCTCAAACACTGGCTTTAGGTGGCACTACTATTATGATAGATGCCAATTATGTTAAAATAATCCTTAAAGACTATTTAAAATAATTTGGTCCTTGGTCATTAACAATTTAGTTTCCGTCATTCTAAATAGAGAGCATGATCTCTTAGCTTTATAGTAATAATTTCCTTGTTTCTTCCATGCACTTTTCAAAAGTTTAAAGTATTATCCTCAAGTGACCTTTTGAAACAGTTTAGAAACTGTAGGTGTTACCACCTCCCAGCATTAATTTTATGAAAAAGTGTGTTTATTTTGCAGCATTTTAAAATAAAAAAAATGGCTGTGGGTATAAAGTGCTCCTGAATTAAGAACTGTAGATACAAAACATAGTCTGGTGCTGTTAGAACCAATTATTCTGTCTACTGGCAAATTTTGTTACTTATATAAAACTGGCAATAGCACAGTTGACTTTACAGAATTACAGTTATTTAAAGTTCTGCAAATGATCTGAACCATTAACATTAATATATGACTCAGTATGGGAATAATACAATATGTAACATAACTAATTTTTGTATGGCACTTAATCACTTACTTTCACATATTTTCCTCCTAACATATATTTGGTGTTAAAAAAAAAAGTGCTAGTACACAGACAGGTTTTATCCTTATTTTACCCTATGATAATTGAGATCTGGGGATACGGAAAGACTTGTTAGCATGACCTTTTTAATATGTAGCAGAGTCTGAACTTGAACAAGTCTTCTTGAATGGAAAGCAGATTTCTTTAACAAGACTTCTTAAAGGGAAAATGGTCTGGGGCATCTACATACACAACAGTAGTCTGGGGCAGCGACTGCTATGACTGACTGATACACATCACGGGCGTGAGTCTCTCCATCATGGCCTTACTTGCTCCCCTCCTTCAGGAGGGCGATGGAGATGCGAATTCGGTTCCTGAGGAAGATCAGCATGAGGAGGACGAACACTTCAAGGATGCAGAGTATTATCACTTTAAACAGGAAAAAAAAAAATTAGTGTGCGGTACAAATCCATCCAAAAAGTAAACTTTCTCTGCAAAAGTTAGGACTGAGCGTCATCATGGTTTCTGCCAATGCTGACACCTCATAATTTCAGCAGTGCCACTGCTCCCAAAATGCCAGTTTTAGAAATTCACTTTCAAGACCTCCCAGAAACGCTAAGCAGCCTAGATTAAAACCGTTAGCTAGAATTTAAACGACTCGGAGGGACAGGCTTCGTTTTGTCTGTGGAAACGTTTCACAGCGTTTGTAGAAATGAGGAAATAGGCATGGAAGGAAGGAAGGGCTGCTTCGGGCAGCTCCCTTTCACTTCTTTGAGTAAGAGAATCACAGCAGAAGGTCTGGCTGCCACTGATGGAGTCAGGGTGTAAACCCAACCCAAGTCGTGTAATCAGGTCTCAGAATCAGAATTCAGGGAAATTAGTTCAGCTTTGAATTGATGTTTACAAACCTCTTGAACAAAGAATGATACAAGTTTAATAAACTCTGTCAAAACCGTCTTGAGGTGAAATGAGTGAACCTGCAGAGAAAGAATGAAGTGTATGTGTGTAAAGAAAGAGCAAGGAGAAGAAACCTAGGGTCCTTTCTGGCTTCTTGTTTCCTGGATCCAGGTACATTTGAAGGTCCAGCTGCTTTTGTGCTCTTTTGAGTTTGGTGAGATACTTCTGTGTTCTGAAAATAAATAACCCTGGCCTTGTCTCCAGCTTGTTCATCTGTTTCTTTTTACTTGAAGCCAAACAGTCCTCTGGGTTCCTTACCAGGCTTCCTCAAACATGACTTGCCTGGCTCTCTCTAACTTCACCGATTCATGAAGACAATTTTTTAAAGCACAATGTAATTAGGGATTATTTTTAAAAGCTTGATCAAAGAGCATGAATCTCTGCGCAGTACAAGGAATATGATACTAAAACCATTCTAGGCATATAGAATTCAAGCCATCTTGGAAATCACCTAGCTTTAAAATTTCTTTACTAGTACCCTTAACTAATTAATAATCTAAACAAACAGTTCAAAATTAAATTTCTTTTCAGTTACTTATTATTCCAATTCTATTATGAGGAGTTTAAAAACACTTGTTATGGAAAACTCATTTGTTTCTCTTTTTCCTTTTTCTTTTTTTAAAAACAAGTTTGAAAAATCAAGTATCTTTGCCCCTTTAAAACACCTTTCTTAGGTATCAGATTAATGGCTATAAACATCCATATCCAACTCATTTTAAGTTGAGGGCAAATAGCTTGAGATCAATGTAAAGTAATATTTTCCTAGATTATACAATAAATTCCCTTCAATAATTTTTCCACTTATTCTACCTTGTAGTATTATAGACACACTTATTTTGATAACATTAGCCAAGTGTATTTAGTAAGTTATACCCACCCAAGTTTTCCTTTAGACAAAAAGATGCTTTCTTGTTACTACAATTAAAAAAAAACAAGTTTTTAAAATCCACTCACTAAATGCGAACCATGTTTGTCTCAGTTGGAAGTACATGCTTATATCAGTCTGAATCCCGATGTTGTATAGAGTTAAGTGAGCATTTGGCTGTCCCTGAAGATCACTGTATTCCTGGTAACAGTGCCATATTCCTTGAAAAGGAGAGAAAAGTAGACTAATGTAAAATCTTGTTTTCTGACATATAAGCTATGCACTTATAACATATATCTACATGAACTTGATCAACATGGTCATGTTTACAAAGGCAAGAGTCATATTTACACATTAAATATTTTATGTGCATCTAATAGTCTAAATGTACTATTGTACTCAATATAAATATTTTCAGTAATTGGATGATTGTGGCAACAGCTGGCTTTAAATGTCCTTTTGACTAGAAATAACTTTAATGTCCATCAGTAGCGACTGGTTAAATAAATCAAGGCATATTTGTACAGTAGGACACTATGTTTCCACATAAAAAAGGAAAGTCTAGTGATAGTGAATGGTCACTTGATGTTTTGTTAAGTGAAGAAAGCAAAGTACAGAATGATACAAAATATGTCATAATTCATTTAAGAAGAACAATATATATATTTTCTTATACATTCATAAAGTATCTCTGGGAGGATACACAGAAATATAATATTTTTTGCTTCCAGGGAGGGAAACTTGGTGACTAAGGAACAGAATGAAAAGGAAAAAAATTCACTGTATCATCTTTTTGTCCTTTGAAATTTTAACACATAATCTATTTCAAAAGCAAATTTTTAAAAATCATCGAAATGTTTTGATGGTGAAGACATGTCTTGATGGGACTATCTGAAAGCTTATTCTTATCAAAATTGTGTCCAGGTAAGGCAAACATGGACTTACTGTATTTTCCCCAAGACTCTGTATTTCAGACTGTATATGACTTTTCACATGGTCTACATAAAGTGGGAGTAAAAAATAGAGTTAAAAGGTCTATTTATTTTAATGACCAATGGGTCTGGACTAGGTCCATTGGAAATGTTCTAGCAATGATGAGGAAAATGGCTTTTAAAACCTCTAACAGTAAATTAACGATTTGTTTCTAGATACAAGGTCAGACAGTGAGGTCTATGGAGAGACACAAGACTAAGTTAGAAAGGACAGTTGTTTCTCAAAGAGCTGTATGATAAATCTCTTTATTTTAGGCACTGCTTTCCCTGGGAATTTTTTAAAGTTCCTTTTAAAATGCTTTATGGAATATTTGATACACACAAACTTATACATAATGCAGATGGTTTTAAAGATACAGCAAAATAAACACATATGAATGTATCACCTATCTTAAGATTTTATAACCTTAATTTTGCTCCAATTACACTTTCCTTCGTATAATAGAGTTTTCTGTCTCTACGGATTTATATCTTTCATCAGTTCTAGAAAATTCTCAGCTAATACCTTTCAAATATGCTGATAGATGTTAGACCCTTCTCAGTCTACTATCTCCTTTAACCAAACAATCATATTTTGTCCTCTTGTCACATTCTGCTGTATTTTGAGTAATTGTTTCAGAGATTCATCTTTCACTCCTTTAATTATCTATTTTACTATTTAATTGATCAATTTAATTTTTAATCTAACACTTTATTGCTTTGTTTTGTTCTCTTTGGTTCATCTTCATGTATGCCTGGATATTTTTGATGATTTTTTAATTAATTAATTAATTTAACATTTTTTATTGATTTATAATCATTTTACAATGTTGTGTCAAATTCCAGTGTAGAGCACAATTTTTCTGATTTTTTAAATTCTGTCTTTAATTCTGAAACATTTTAGACATGATTATTTCGTGTTCTGTATCTATTTATCCATACTTGAATTTCTTGGAGACCTCAATCTGAGGTTTATAGTTTTTGTTGTTCGTTTCTTGCAAAAGATCATTCCCTTGCATGTTTGGTAATCTTTGACTGCAACTCATACTTTGTTCATCTTAATCTGTGGAAACCTGGTGATCTAAATTGAAGGTGCTTTCATCTAGAGGGGATTTATATTTTTTTCTGTTGGCATCCAAAGAGTACTACCAAACTGGGGTCACTTTATACATTTTCCAGGATCCCAGATCTACTCCAGGCGTTCAGGTCTGATCTACTCTTCTGCTGGCTCTAAGTCTCCTGATTGTAGTACTGGTGTGGTCCACCCATAATTTCACACGTGCTTCTGCATTTTTTAGCTTTTAATTTTTTTTCCTTTTGAGGAGATTTCCTTTATTTCCTGTAAGCTCATCAAAACAATACATTATATAATACAATACAATATGATTTTATGCCATTATTTCAGAGCAAGAGGGCCCTTCAGATTATTCAGTTCCTTCATACTGGTGGATATCAAAGTCTCAGCAATGTTTTCCAATTTATTTTTCTATTGCTTTCTCATTCCTGTGCTAGTATTTTCTTTGTTTGTTTCTAACATTCCCTGGGCTTCAAGTGCTCTTTCCTCAATAATATTCCTGCATAATAACAAAATAATAGATATCGTTTATTGAACAATTACTATGTGCTAGACAGCTTTCTAGATTCTTTATATACATTATTTAACACTCAGATTCCTATTGTATAGGTAAGGAAACTGTGAATTAAAGACACTGTGTATTTGCAGAGAATCACACAATTAATATGTGATGAATCTAGGATTGTGCCTTTTTCAAACTCTAAATACATGTTTGTAACCATGGTGTTATACGGCCTCTCTTGTGTAGCTCTTAACTTGTTCTGGTCAATAAGAATTGTTCCACTGCTGTTTGTGAGCATTTGGCCACAAACAGCTTGGACTTTTCTCAGCTCAGTATGACATATCCACATTGTTCTTTGCTCTAGCAAACAGGCTGCTGTCAGTAGGAAATGGTTGTCTCCCATGACCCGTAGAAAGTCCACTGTCCGAACAGTAGCAGAGGCGAGTTACATACAGTCTGAGTTACTTACACTCTCCAGTCAGGTTGGACATTTTCCCACCCAACAAATAGC